GAATTAACACTATTACAAAGACCCAAGGTGAAAGATGGAATGAAAACGCAGTTGAAAGTTAAGATGAAAGTACAGTAAACTCTTGATTAACTGACTGATGACTAATAAAGGGGAAGCAGATAACCAGTGATTGACAAATGTGGTGGACAGAGATAAGATGGTTTTGCCAAGAGCATAACAATAATGAACTATTAAGAAAACCAAAGGACCTTGTTTCCGAATAAAACTTCCCAAAGTGGATTTTGTCCTTATTTCCAAAGTTTTTTTAAATCAAATGTCTTTTTAAATTTGGGGTTGACTGCACAGAGCAATAATGCAAGTGACTCAGCATGAAGCTGTGAAAGGGGCTGTGAAGCTAGAGACTGTGGACATTAAGACTAGTGTAAGGGTTATAAGCGAGTCAATATATAGATAAACAGAAATTTTCACACCTACTTTGGAGAATAAAAATAATACCATGGCTGGAACAATTCACAACTAGCTCACAAACTGGAGAGGAAATTTTAGTGGACATTTCGATAATTTCCTTTTCTACTCGTCTTTTTACCTGACCTGTCTTCTGGCTCTCTCTTCATGTCTCTACCGGACCTGTTCTCTGGCATTCTCCTAACCTTTTCACCTGACCTCCCTCCTGATTTTCTCTCCTTTCCCTCTCAGTCATAGCTTGACAATAATCTAGGATGGACCAGAATATAGTCTAAAATTACCTCTTGAAATTCTGGGTCAGTTGTGAATTCTTCTATGCAGTGAAGAACTTAAGTTATAAATGGATATAAAATTTTATCCGTCATTTATAGGAAGCTAAGGACTACTGGTTTTTAAGGACTACTGTATATTTCTTACCTCTGTCCTTAGGTGGCAAGCGTTTGCGAATGCTTGCTCTTCTATTCTGAAACCACATTTTGATACTGCGATAGGGCGTTTTAATTCTTAAAGCAATGCAGTGTTGGTCAATTGGCTCGGGAAAGTTGTTATGCTCAAATGTTGTCTGTTTGGAAAATAAATGGCTATTAGTAAGAAGTTCATCACCCCCTCTTTTCCAACTTTGGAATTCTATCACTTTTCATACCAGGTACAGAGATACTCATTAAATTTTCAAAATTAGTTAAAACATATACATACTAGTGGGATACATATACAGTGGATCCTCCGTGCTCAGACTTAATTTGTTCCAGAAGGCTGTTTGAGTACCGAACGAATTTTTCCCAACCAATTTTCTTTTTTGTTGGCCTGGCTGTTATCACTAATCTTCTTAGGCCCCATGGTAACTTTTTTATACAAAGATGCAATATAAAAAAACACCAGAAATGCAAAGAAACATGAAATAGTTTACAGCGAAGTTCTGACAGGTCGTGTTTGTTTGGTCGAGTGCCAAGCAAACAGTCGTCTACAAGGCGACTTTTTTACTGAACAAAGTGTTCGAATACTGAATTGTTTGAGTAGGGAGTTGTTCGAGTACTGAGGTTCCACTGTATACTCATTGCTTTCACCTGCCAGTGAAAAAAAAAGAGTTATTTTCCACATTAATTTTCATTCATAATACATACGAAAGATCTTGAAAAAAGAATTCTTTCCATTTCTTGTTTACAATTTTTTTTAAAACGTCAGCTGTCTCCCCCCGAGGAGGGTGACCCAAAAAAGAAACACTTTCACTGTCAATCACACATAAACACTGTCTTTGCAGAGAGTTCAGATATGACAGTTCAGATGTCACTCCAAACATGTATGGTCAACATTTTTTTTCGAATGGTTATCCATGTGTGCATCTGATAATGATTTATTACAAAAAAATAAGACACCATGCATACACTGTCTGTGTTGTAACTTGAATGATTTTAGAATACTGACACACCAAAACATATTTAACTTATCAGTTGGGAAAAAAATGATATTTACTTTATTTACAAGTTTATTAAATCAATGACTTGAAAAAAAAAGGGTCTGTTACTATTACCAGCCCTTACAAACCTTCAAAAATTTTCCAAATTCTATTTACCAAATTTTTGTTTTTCCCTTAAGAAAGAAGTCACAATTTCCTTGCTAGAAAAAATTCACAATCCCAAAAAATTTGAAAATGAAATTGAAACATGCGGCTTGTTTCATGACTTGTGATGGCTCAGAAAAAGACCAAATATCTTCTAGCTTCCCCCAAATTTTTTGGGGGTGTTGTGCATCTTATACCTTTTATTAAATGTATTTACCTTGTCTTCAATAATTTAAATATTTTATTAATTTTTAAAGCCATATGAGAAAAGCTACAAAAATATAAAAGAAACAAAAACCCCCAGAAAATTTATATTGTTTTTCCCGAAAGCTGTGCGTTTGGCTTAAATTGCATCTCTCCAACCTGACTAAATCTGCAAGAGATAAATAAACAATAAATTTTTTAAAAAAGCCCCCAAATAAAAATATATGAATTATGCAAAAATTATATTTTTTGAAAAAACAGATCATGTTACATATTCACAATTTGCAGTGTGGCTAATTTTATTTCATGCTACGGAATTTTATTTATTAATGTAAAGCTAATAAATATCAAGAAATACAATGTAAATATCAAGAAATACAATGCAAAGGAACATACTGTAAAGAAATGTAATGAAATGGATGGTGTGGGAAAAAAATGTGAGGGGGTGGTATAAGTAAGTGTAATAGATGGTATAAAATGTGTGTAAATGGGCAGTGCAAAATAGTATAAATGAGTGGTGTACAAGTGCAATATAAAGAAATGTAAATGGGCATAAAGAAATGCAACTTTCAAGCAATAATTTGGGAAGAGACTGTCACAAACTTTTGCTGAGAATAAGAAAAAGTTTTGAAAGAATTGAAATGGTGAGTAAATCAGATTAAAAATCATAATACAAAAGTAATATTTCTTTATTTAATATATTATTATCACATAAATGTAAAGACTATTTTATATTCAGCCAATAAAAGTAAATGTTGATCACTAACCTTTACAAAAAGTTGCAAAGATTAGTGGATGAATTTGGAAGGAGATATAAAAGAAAGAAATTAAAAAGCAAGGTGACAAGAATAACAAAAAACTAGGCAATGAAAGATTGGCTATTAAATCAGAGAGGAGTATATAGATGGGTCTATGAAAGATAAGGTGAACCATAGAATAGATGAGGGAAAATGGTAGGTGGTGTGGAAAGAAAGGTTATCTTGTGAAGGCAAAAAATATACTGGAGTTTACTGGTACCAACACTATATAAGTTTTTTTTTTTTTTTTTTCAAACAAGTCGGCGTCTCCCACCGAGGCAGGTGACCCAAAAAAGAAAGAAAATCCCCAAAAGAAAATACTTTCATCATCATTCAACACTTTCACCTCACTCACACATAATCACTGTTTTTGCAGAGGTGCTCAGAACAAACAGTTTAGAAGCATATACATATAAAGATACACACCATATCCCTCCAAACGCTTTAAATGCTGCAGCAAGAAGGCAGCTAGAGCAGTGGAAATGTTATTGTTGAGAGCAAATTAGAAATCATGGGGTTACTTAAGGTATATATCAGAGATGAGGAGGGGTTATTGTGGTTTAACATTTAGAAAGAGGGGGCAGAAAAGATTGACCAAGGTGTGTACAAACTGGAGTGGAAGGAAAGAGACGTAGGGATTGTCCTAGAAAGGGTTGAAAGGAGAGGGGTAATAGGGTTTTGAGTGTTAGGTGCAACCGCAGGCTTGTGAGAAATGCTGGATCTGTGAGTGTTTTATGACGAAGTGGTTTTTATGACTGAAGCGCTTTTGGAGTGTGAGCAGAGGTAACATGAAGGATCAGGGAAACTGGTCAGTTGGACTTGACTCTGACAGTGGGAAATACAGTGCCTGTCCTTGAAGAAAGGAGGGGTGTTTCAGTTTGAAATGTCTTTGAATTGTGATATCCATGCACTTCTGGCAAGCAGCTATTGGTGAATGATGTGACGAATTTCTTTTTGGATCACCTACCTTAGTGGGAGACAGCCTATGTAAAAAAAAAATTCACAAAAAATGTTCCAAAACAACATTAAATATAAATTTACTTTCCTGGGAAGAGTCCTTGTTGAATTTTCCATCTATTTAATCATCTTCAAAGATAACAAACTAAAGAATTTAACAAAGCCGTATTGTAATACTTGTTGACAATCCTATTTGTGAAGCATTATATCTGCTAAATCCAGTATGTAAAAAAAAAAAAAGGCAATATCAAAGCTAAAAAAAAATGAGACAAATTGGGAATTCATTATTTATGAAAAAGAATGTAGAGGTGAGAATGTATTGTTGAATGCACTTTTTGCATTGTGAAATATAGGCGTTAAAAATGAACAAAAATCGTTTAACAACTTAAAATTGGAAAAGCTCTGGTGACTGTACCTTCTTGATTCTCATTGTTGTTGGTCATACGTGGACGCAGGACGCTTGAGCTATTCTTAACCTGAGGTGTGATGGTGGACTTCTGGTTGAGTTTGGAACTTAGCTCGTGATAACATTTGCTGCTGAAGCTGTGAAAGCAAATAAAACAAAACTCATTACTGTGTCAGTTCTTATTATATTCTTAGCTACCAAACTTTTAAGTTCAATATGTGGATTAATGCGTTTTAAAAGAAAAGACCCTTTCTATGACATTTCACCAGTCTTTATCATATTGGTGAACAGCGGTTTATTTTTGCTGTTTTTTTTCTAAAACCCCATATTGGTAATGCATCAGGAGGTAGCACCAAGGGAGGGATTTGGGGGTCCTTCAACCCTCAAAAATTTCCTTAGCCTTTCCCAAAGCCCCCCAAAGAAAAACGTAATCCAGTAATAAAAACCAGACAGCCGCCCCTAAGCCCACCTGGTATAGAAATTCCTGCATACCCTATTTGCCATCTCAACTACATGTGGACTTGATGCACACTCAAACCAAAATGCGGCAATGGCTTCTTTAGTTTATAAATGTTTCACCAAGATGGCCTCCTGGGTTAAAAAAAGATGTATGGCCACAAAGCACATGCTCCTATAGAATTGTTTACTGAGGGATATACTGTACTATGCCATAATGGACTAATAGAACATTTCAGAAATTTACAAAACACATAAGGGCCCTAGTTTCATTGATGAGATTAGGCCATGATTAGATGGAGGATCAAGCTACAACCTCACTGCACAAATGATCTCAGGCAAAATTTAGCACTCAATATAAATAATAAATATAAGGAGATTTAGCACACATATTACATTAACTTAAATTATTTGTAGATGGAAACTGCATTTATTTCATTGCCTATTGTATGGCAGCAGGTTTCAGTAGTTATAATACAATGCAGAGAGAAAGAAAGCCTATGAAAAAATAGGAGAATATAGGCATAAGGAGAAAGAAGCAAAAGCAAAAAAGAAGCAAAATATAAAAATTAAAAAATTAAATAAGAAATATGAGGAAGAAAAAGAAGCCAAAACTGAAGAATACAAGAGAAATGCACAGAGCAGAGCAGAGGAACACAGTCACTACATGGCTTAGCTAACCTGCTGAAACTGAGCCATAACTCCTGCTTGGTACTGCAGTATATGAGAAACTACTGTTTGTTGCAGCTGGTTTAACTGAGCTACAACAGCTTCTTCTGGCCCCATGGATGTTGAAGGTGGCGACACTGCTGATGCCGGTGGTTGTGGGGATTGTGAGGACTCTTTTTCTTCATCTTCATCCTCTTGATTTTCTTCTTTCTCTTCATTTTGCTCCTTTTTAATGGTAACTGCTACTTCTTGTTTTTCTGGAATTTCCCTCTGTTCTTTTTTAATTACAACTTCTGTTTCTTGCTCTAAATTAATTTCATGTTCCTGTTTGTTTTCCTTTTCCATTCTTTTCTTCCGCTTGCTACATTGCCTCTTCTTCATGAGTGCAAGTATTTAGTTTTTCTTATTCTTAAGTTGTCCCTCTCCATGCCATCTGTCCTTGCAACCCCTAAGGGAGTCTGTAAAACATACAAACTATATTAGAATTCACTGGTTTTCATAGCCTGAATGCTGAACATTAAATATCAAATGTTTCTAAGATGTTTTAATTTCTAAGAGCAACTGTGGCACACATACCTAGTTTGTTAACCAGCTTCAATTATAAGTCGTTTACTATACTGATTCCATATGGAGAGTTGAAGGAGGAGGTCTTGCTTCTCCAGGAGGAGATTAGGAGGCTGAAGGTCCACCTCAATGGGCCTGGGAGAGTGTGTGAGGTGGTTGGAGATGTGGGGAATGAGGCTTCTAGCAGTGAGGTGCAGTCTGTCTCTCACTGTGAGGAGGCTTGTAGGTGGGAGGTAGCATCGGGGGGTCGGTACCAGCAGTGAGGTGCACCAGCACTGCTACAAGTGGCGAGTTGTTCACAGTAATGGGAGGCGCATCAGAGTAAGGAAAGTTAGAGTGAAGATCTGAGGTAGGAAATCGCTTCTCCCCCCCCCCCCCCCCCCCCTGTTTTCTCCAGGATGAATGTACTTCAAGTGCGCAGTGAAGGTAAGGGTAATACTGCCCCTGCTAATGAAGGTAAGCGCATTCTTGTGGTTTGGTGACTCTCAGGTAAGATATGTTGACCGTGCTTTTTGTAATAGGAATAAGAAGATGAGAGATAGACGTGTGCTTCCTGAGAGCTGCGTGTTGGGGGAACATTTGTCAACAGATGGATAATATCTGTCAGGAAAATGGGAACAAGCCCATTATCTGTCCTCAGTGCTAGGTGGAAATGATATGGAAGGGTAGGAGAGAAGAGCTGCTAGATAAGTACTGGTCAGCTATTGATTTCATTAAGTTCTAAGGGATAGGGATACCCAATCATATGTAAGCATCTTGCTAGAAGGGGAGTAGGAGTAATGAATGGTTGTCTAGGGCAATTGGTGTAAATTGCTGGCTAGGGACAGATTACTGCAAGGGAACTTGCAATCCCATTCATTGACAAAATGAACAACTTGTGTTATGGCAAACATGATATGTAATGCAAGGGATGGGGTTCATCTCTCTGGGGCAGGGGTGTAGCACTTGCAGACTCGATTGAGGGAAGGCCCATTAGGTGAAATGCCTATGATTTTAAAGATGGAAGATAGAGGTGTATGGGCTTGTGTGTGGGAAACAAGCATGGTTGCAACAACTAGGTTGAAACAGTAAATGTATAAAAGGCATTCAGCATCGAAAGTTATAATAAAAGACCAATAGAACAGGTCAGAAAAACAAAGGGGAGAGCAGCAGTAGGAGCAGCAAGGACTAAGCTCCCATTAAGGTTTACTATACTAATAGAGGGAGGTGTTAGAAAATAAGATAGATGAGCCAATAGATTAATTGCAAGTGCAGTATAAAACATAGATATTATTTGCTATAACAGAGACCTGCTCAATCTGAAAGATAGAGAGATGCCATCTGAATGTCACATACAAGGCTATAAATTATTCCACACTGACAGGGTCAACAGGAAAGGTGGTGGAGTAGCGATGTATGTCAGAGACAATTTAAATTGTTGTGTTAGACAAGATATTAAATTAGAAGCGTCAGCCACTGAATCTGTTTGGTTACAGCTTCTCGAGGGCCGAGAAAAATCAATTTTTGGGTTGGATTTACAGGGCCCCAAATCTTGATAGGGAGTGCAGTAAACTTCTATGGGACGAAATTCGTAAGGCATCTACATACGAAAATGTTGTGTGCTAATGGGAGACTTCAACTATAGACAGATTGACTGGAGCAATTTTGACAGGAAATTTAGAGTCGGGTGACTTTCTTGATACGATCCAGGATTGTTTTTTTAAAACAGTTTGTGACAGAGCCAACTAGGGGAAATAACCTCCTTGACTTGGTTCTTGCCAGTAGGGAAACACTAATTAATAATCTTGAGGTTAATGATGAGCTTGGGGAGAGTGATCACAAATCACTCAGTTTTAAACATATCATGGAATTCCCCTAATAATGGCAATCAAGTCTCCGTCCCTGACTTTCGCTTGGCTGATTTCATGGGACTGAAAAATTAACTTAGGTGGGCTGAACTGGAAGACCTGACTAGGGGTCAGGTAGGTGGTGATGGTTGCCGATAATGATGCTTTCCGGGGCATAGTTCTAGCTGCTCAGTAAAAATTATTTTTCCCAAATAGGGAAATCAGATCAAACAAAAATGATCCTAAATGGATGAACAATAATTAAAAAAAACTGATTGGTCAAAAGAGAGGCATATATAGGCAAATCAAAAGAGGAGAGGGGCAATTAAGAAATCGATATATTCAGTTAAAGAGAGAAATAAAAAAGGGAATAGAAAAGCAAAAAGAGATTATGAGGTTTAAAGTTTGCAAGAGAATCGAAGACAAAACCCAAAAGGGAAATCTTTCAGGTATACAGAAGTAAGATCGGGGACAAGATAGGCCCACTCAAAAGTTCCTCGGGTCAGCTCACTGACAGTGATAAGGAAATGTGTAGAATTTTTAACACATACTTCCTCTCAGTTTTTACACAGAGGATACCAGTGATATTCCAGTAATGATAAATTATGTAGAACAGGACGATAATAAACTGTTGCACTATTAGGGTCACAAGTGACAGGGGTCCTAGGCAAATAGATAAATTAAAACCTAACAAATCCCCAGGCCCTGAGAACTGTATGCAAGGGTTCTAAAGGAATGTAAAGAGGAGCTTAGCACACCTTTGGGTAATCTTTTCAACATATCACTACAAAAAATGGCATGGTGCCAGATAAGTGGAAAATGGCAAATGTGATACCTATTTTCAAAACAGGTGACAGGTCCTTAGCTTCGAACTATAGACCAATAAGCCTAACCTCCATAGTGGGAAAATTTATGGAATCAATAATTTGGGCCCAGGGGAGTTCGTAGCCACCTTGAAAAGCATAAATTAATCAACGAATCCAGCATGGTTTTACAAAGGACGTTTCCTGCCTTACGAATTTATTAAAATTTTTTCACTAAGGTATTTGAGGAGGTAGATCATGGAACGAATATGATATTGGTGTATATGGACTTCAGTAAGGCTTTGACAGGGTCCCACACAGAGACTATTGAGGAAAATTAAAGCACATGGGAATAGGAGGAGAAAATTTTTTCCTGGATTTGAGGCATGGTTGACAATAGGCAGCAAGAGGTTTGCTAAATGGGGAAAATCAGAGTGGGGAAGCGTCACGAGCGGTGTTCCACAGGGGTCATGTTGGGCCCCCCTGCTTGTTCACAATCTACATAAACGACATAGATGAGGGCATAAAGAGCGACATCGGCAAGTTTGGCCGATGACACCAAAAAATAGGCCGTCGAATTCATTCTGAAACCCCGA